TGGGGCTGAGTCTGGGATACATTGTGTTCACAACAGGAAAACCATGGTGTCTTGTAAAGAAGGTAGAGGTATATTAACAGAAATTTGTTGAAAGGTGCAACCGAAGTCATAAGAGAAGAAAAAACCAGCTATGCAACTAATGCTCTTAGGGCAACCTTATACTAAATCATAGGGTAAAGCTCTACCTTCAACTTCAAGGATGGCAGACATGATATATTAAAATTGCTTGCACCTAAATGGCAATGGAGGGACTCAAACCTAGCATTAGTTGCATTGTTGGTTTTTTCTTCTTTTATGCCTACGGTTGCACCTTTGAACAAATTTCTGTTGAAATAACTCTACCTTCTTCACGAGGCACAATGGTTTTCCTGTTGTGAACACAATGTAACCGAGACTCAGCCCCAATACCAGTCCACAATAGTAACTCGACAATGCAATTTTCCAATCAAATGCTGATACAGAGTCATCTTCTTCACGAGCACCATGGTTTTCTCTTGTATATCCCCTCCAAATTCATTCTTGCCCGAGTCCAGAAAGGCCAAATTCTGCAGAATTCACAGAGGTTTCTGGAATAACCCTATCAAAACTGTTGCGCCCCAAGAACAACCCTTCAAGAGTTGAAATGGACCCTATTTCTGCGGAATCAGTCCTGTAAAATTGTTTCCCCACAAATTTAAGTCAACCAAATTCTTGCAATTTGACATCTTCCCTGAAAGTTCAGCACTGAAATTGTTTCCTGACAAGTCCAAAACTTGCAGGCTACAATTTTCCCACAAAGTTGATTCAGAAATTGAACCAGAAAGATTATTTATCAGCAACAGAAAAGTCCACAAGCCTAACAAATCCAGTCCACAATCCACCAACAAAATTATTGGAGCTCAAACCCAGATATTACAGATTCCGGTGCCCATCAAAGCCATCATCAATCCTACCTCCGAAGTTATTCTCAGAAAGATTGGCAACAACAAACCTATTGCAAAATGTAGGAAAACTGAACTGAACCTCACCGGAAATCCTATTCATAGATAGACCAGGGATCTCCAGTTTAGTCAATCCGGACAGTTCAGTTCTCCTTCAAGGCGATCAGACAGATTGAGGTACACGAGGTTGTGGCATCTCTGCAAGTCATCAGGAATCACTTCATTTATTTTGTTCTTTGAGAGGTCAGGTATTGAAGATCAGAAAGAGACGAGAAACTATTAAACATCTGGCCAGTGATATACCTTTCCGAGAGGTCTACTCCGATGACCCTAGTCCATTTTCCGAAATGGATTGGAAGTCGTTTGATTCATTCCGTGTATCTCCCTCGATTCACTGGGTTCTGTCTTAAGGAATAATTTCAGACAGGGCAGGGATTCCCAGTCCGTGTCCGGTGAATTTCCGACGGTGACGGCGCCTGTAAATAACCGAAATTCAGCGATAGTAAGTAGGAGAATCTTCCTTGCACAACTCAAAATCATCCTCAAAAAATGCAGAACTTATTCAGAATTCATAAACACAAAATCAGGAAATACCCTCGAAAGATTTTCGATTCAGGTTATTGAAAAAGACAAACCCATATTGAAAATGAACTGATTGAAGAAAACCGAATACCTGAAATCAGGATGAAGAACACCAGCAACGCCAAAACGCCATGAACCAGCAGCCTCATCACCTACCCTCCTCATCTCCTCCTTTTTTTCCACTGAGTTCAAAATTTCCCAAGTGAGTCTCTCAATCACCCATCAAAGAATAAAAAACATAAGAAGAAAAACCAAGAATGAATTCGAAGAAGAGTAAAAACGTACCCGAACGTAGTAAAAAACAACGCCTGCAACATAGTGCCAAAGGAAACTTGGAAGAAACGATTGTCCATACAGAGTTTCATTTTTTTAAGATTAAATTGGTATTTGATAGGATCAAATCCCAGATTAATCCTAAGAAGTCGAAGTTGATTTCCCTTTTTCCTGCAATATTTTAGTGGGTGTTGTTTGAAAGGAAGGGAGGCCATGGGATAAAGTAGAGGTGCTGGTGAGCCGCCTAGTTTGATTTGATTTTGTTTGAAGACTAGAAAAGTAGAAATATAGACTTGACCCTGAGGCTTCTGTTTGGAATTTTGTGTCAAAACCACTGTTTTAAGATTAGATCGAATGATGGATTTGTTTTGGTTATTAAGTTTGGTTCAATTAATTCAATCGGTTTGCACCTGGACCTCTAGGTCCACTGACATTAACCAGGTTGATGGTGTACTGTCCCCCTCCCCTTGGGCGGGTTCGAAACCCACCCCTTGCCAAAAATGATCAAAAAAAAATT